ATTGTTCTTTAATTGGATAAATATAACCAAAATGAGAATAATCATTTATGAATATTATAAATGAATCGTAACCATCCACACTCTTCACAGGAAAAGGACCACAAATGTATGTGTGAACTATTTCTAAAATTCATGCGCTTCGTTTGATATCTTTATTTATTTTCTTAACATACTTTCTTTTTATGCAATCAATGCATTGTTCTAAATCTAAAAATTCTAAAGGCGGAAGAATTGATTTCTTAATCAATCGCTCTATTCTTCCCGTCAAAATATGGCCTAAACGACAGTACCATAATTTCAATGATACATCATGAATTCTCTTCCTCTTATTTATTGCATTCATAGACGAGGAATCATTCTCATTCTCAGTGCTCACAGCATTCACTTTCTCAAAAAGTGATAACAAATAAAGCTTGTCTTGTCGAAATGCAAAACTAACACACTTATTATTAAACACAATCTGACATTTGCCATTACCAAAATGATAATCATATCCATCATCGTCTAGACGTGAAACACTTATCAAATTTCTACGCAAAGAGAGTACATAAAGGACATCTGAAAGCTGAAGTACAAAACAATTATCTAATTCTAGAGAGAGATCTCCAATGGCTTCAACTTCAGCTTCAACTTCATTTGCAATTTTTATTCTTCTTTCTCCTCTTTGCAGGATCCTCCTCGTATGGAATTTATGTAATGAATTTGTAACATGAATAGTTGCACCTGAATAAATTCACCAAGTAGATTTTGCATAGCTTAAATACAAGGACTCATCTACGTATATAATGAAGTCATCACCTCTCTTCAAAAGGCTCTTCAGAAAATCTGGACAATCCCTTTGGTAATGTACATGCTTCTTACACCATTTGCACTGCTCCTTTTTAACTTGAGCATTGTTGTTCTTCTGACGGTGGTCATTCTGAGGGGCTTTCCCTTGAGGTTTGATATTCTTTTTAAAATTCTTCTTGTTATTGTCCCTCACATGGTTAGCAGAGTCATCATGTAAGCTTTTAAGCCTCTCCTCTTCTTGCACATACATTGCTATGAGCTTCTCAATGTCCTATTTGTCGGGCTGCATGTTGTAATTAATAACAAAAGTTTCATACTCTTTAGGCAATGAAGCAAAAACCAAATGAATCAGGAACTCATCCTTGAGCCCCAAATCCATTGGCTTGAGCTTGGAAGCCGTGTTGCTCATATTCAATATGTGTTCTCTTATCCCTCCACCAGAGTATTTCTCATTGAATAACTTCTTTATCAGGGTACTGGCATAAGCCTTTGAAGAGCCAGTAAACCGACTCTCTACTTTCTTGAGATACTCAGTGGTGGTGTCACAATCTGGGATTGACCCCCTTATTGCATCTGAAATAGTGGACTTAGCCACCATCAAGCACTTGCGGTTCGAAATATCCCATTTCTTACGATCAAGATCGTATTTCATTCTCACTTCTGCATGATCTCGTTGCCGAGCAGTGAAATTAGCATCAGTTTTATTTTCTTCCCTCACCGGGTCCACTGGCTCAGTAGGACACGAAGAGGTAAGCGCTAAGTTATTTTCGGATAGCGCAAGTGCTAATTCATACTTCTATCGTCATATACGATAATTGTCCCCTTCAAGAGGCGGAATGTGCGAGATGAATGCCATAGGGTTGAGTCCTGAAAACAGCGTCAGAGATAGTGAGAAAATATGACATAATAATTGCATGTCTTAATTTAACGTTGATCAAAATTAAAACATATAACATTATTCTACATCACCGTTGGGCATAAATAGAATTAATGCTTAGAAAAACTCATGAATACAAAATTATAATATTGCTATTATCCGCCCTATTCGCTTGGCTTATAAGCCGTACTTTTTCAGTCAACGAATATTATTTTTCTCTCACAATAAATCAGTCAACAGTACCTTCAGCCATGGCTTATCAGCCAAGCGAACAGGGCGATCAACATTGGTCAGAAAAATAATAATATCATAATTTACTGAATAAAATTAACTGCTATTCAAATCAAATTCTCCCGCTGGTTCGATTTAATTAGAAGATAATAAACATTTAATTTGTAGCGGAAACATGAAAAACAATTTATCTACTTTTTAGGAGCATTTTGATTACTTATCTACTCTCTAAAAATTAAACACGTTGGTGCAAATTTATAGAGATAAAAACTAGATAAAACATATTGACAAAATGCTACTAAAAAAAGGAAAAACTTAAAGCTGTTTTCTACTGTTCATTCAGCCTGGGAGTTAAATCGGCCCACGGCCTATTCGCGCGCTACGCTTTTCCGCATCCTAGGCCACAACCTGTGCCTGGACCGGGATTCTGCTCTCCCGCCTAGACCAAATTCGGCCCGAGCGCTACGAGCCGTCGATCGTGATCCAACGGTCGTGCGCGAGGATCGGAGGAACAAAAACCCCTCCCGGCCTTTCCCCCAAACCCTAGGGCTCACTCTCTTCCTCTGCTTCTCTCTCTTCATCACACAGACACCACAGTGCATTACCTGTTGTGACGACTCTGGGACTTGCACGACATAGGAGATGGTGCTGTGGTGGCACCCTCGCTCGGCCAAGACGCTGCAGCGTCTTGGCCGGAGCCAGCACAGCGGCGCCGTCGAAGCAAGCACTGGTGGTGGTGCCCTTTGGAGCCCAGCGCCGTGGGCCTGAGCAGCGTGAGCCGGCGACTTTGGCTTTTTCTTCCCACGTCTTGCGTGAGGCATCGGCGGGTCCTTCATCCCGCGCGCGGCGCTGTCGACGGTGATGAAGAAACCAGGTAGGTTTCTCCCCCTCTCTGTCCGTTTCGCTTCTAGGGTTTGGGTTAGGTTAGACTGTTTATGCTCGATTCGAACCAATCGATTCATCTCCTTCTACTTTCTACTCGATTTCTACCCCAAGAACTAGATCTACACCTAGAATATGCTCAATGATAGAACTTAAGATCAACTAGCAGTAGATCTAGCGGGTATAAACTTGCATTTAGGATATAGTAAACCCTAGAACCTGAACTAGTGCTTGGAAAAGAGAGAGAGAGAGAGAGAGAGATGTGGTGTTAGCAAATCATCGGTCGCCTTGGAGGTAGACGAGCTGGTCATGGCGTCGGTGTCGGTGACGTGGTGAAGGCGTAGAGTAGTAGTGGAGTCTGACGCCGGTGTGGACGTTGCAGTGGAGGCACGGTCGCAGAGGTGGCGGTGAAGACGCGGCGGTGGCGGCCCGTCGCTAGCAGCACCCCCCTCTAGATCGGCTTAGGGTTAGGATGTAGGTGGGGTTTGTGGCGGCTCAGGTGAACCTCGTGCCTTGTGCCCAAATCCTCACCTCCTTTTTATGACGCTGTGCGACGGGGGACCACCAACCATAGATAGGGTTGGACGTTCCTAATTAAAGCGCGGATCAAAGGCTCAATCGACCGTTCGGTCAAGTTAGTAGAGATCAACGTAACAGGGGAAGCCCAGGGCCCACCTCGCACCACTTTTCCCCTAGTTTGTTGCTGTGGTCAAGGATTCGTTCTCGCACCACTTTTCCCCTACTGGTTCAGAGAAAAGAAAAAAAACAAGAGATGCCCAGTTCGCCATCGCCCGATCGCCGTTCACCACTTCACCCGCTGACGCCGGCTCGCGCCACGCGAGAGGATGTCGTCGTGTGCAGTGTGCTCCAGCTGTAGCAGAATATATGGCGGGACCAAAACAATGCTCCCTCGTCGGCGTCCAAGAATTGCCAATCCATCCAAGGGTCCCGTGACGCCGTCGTCTGCATCACCCATACGGCCATCTCCAGTACAGTACTCCTATAGTACGGTTTAGCATTTGGACGGTTTCACCCATTGTACGGCGAGCACTTGAATGGAGCAGAGTGCAGTGCAGACTGCAGAGCGCCAGAGGGACATCGGGCGGAGCCACCGCTTCGACGAATGGGCTAGCGCTTTTCTGTCTGTGTGTGTCACTATTCATTCAGAGCAGATGTTGCCGCAGTCGGCAGTCCGAGTCTGCACTCACTGACTGTCCACTCTTGGGAGAAGCGGGGATTCGAACTCGAGAAGATGAAGGGCGTCCCCAACAAGCCTATTTGAGCTAGCCGAATTGACCGTGAGAATCCGACGTGGAGGAGAGAAGAGGCTGCAAAACAAGTTCACTCCTGCAAAACAAAGCCTATTTGAGCTAGCGATTGTTTCGTCGCCTATCTCGCACGGTTTCCAAAACATCCACCGTCACTGCTATGCTGGGGCCAGTTCACTCCTGCGTTCAGGCTCTTAGTTTTTTATTTTTTTAGTGCTAGCGAAGTCGCCGATCCGCTGGGGACGCCCTGAGAGGAAAAAATAGATTAGACCCCTGACCGCCTGTCATACTCATAGCCTAGTATTATTGCGTTTGGATGGGCTTACTCTGTTAACTAATCTTCTGTTCACACGTTCCCACGTCACCTCCTCGGCTTGATCTAGGACTACTCCAACTCGTAACTCTGGGTCCCTGCCTCCCTGGGACCACTCATCAGGCACAGGTGTGCGTTGCCCAAACGGTGCGGGTACGAATCTAGCAGCTGATTCTGTGTCAGTCACTCACTCAGAGGCAGTCCCACTGGTGAGCGCACCACCTCGTGTTGTGAGCGCGCAACGCCTGATCCCGTCCTGCCCGTGCCCGTGCTCCGCCCACGGGCCAGTGACGCGCCAACAGTCGCTGACGCCCGTGGTACAACACTAAAGGACCCACATGTCATGCGCTGGACGAGCTGTGCGGCGTTATTTTTGCTCCAAAAAGTAACACGGATGCACTTGTGTACAAGTAGACCTCATCATTGACCTTTTGTTATGCTGACGGCTGGGACCAGGACTCACATGGTCCCGCACGTCAGCATGATAAGTACCGAAGCTGGTTTCCTTAAACCGCACGCTAATACCAAACCCACCACGGAGAAACGAGGACAAAAGGGTCAAAAGTCGCAGGGCCAAACCCGAGACGAGTCGCCCCCACCCCCACCTCCACAACCACCAAGCCGAATAGCCGATGCCACTATGCTTCCGGGGGGACTCGAGGACGGGAAGCGACGCGGCGCCACCGCCGACGAGGACGCCGACGCTGCCACCTCGGCGTCGGCGGCGTGCCTGAACGACCTCTGCGCTACCGCCGCTGGCGCTGGCGCCGCGGCGGGGGCGCCCGCGCCGCCGTTCCCGAGGGCGGCTGCGTGGGCGGTCGCCGCGCTGCTCGCGGTGGGCCTCGGGGTCGGCGCCCTCGTCCTCGCCGTCGTGCATAGCGCCGCGCTGCTCGTGGTGGCCGTCCTCCTCTCGGCCGCCGTGGCGGCGTTCCTTCTGTGGAATGCCGCCGCCGCGGCGTCGGGCCGCGCGCTGCGCCGGTTCGTGGACGGGCTCCAGGCCTCCAGCCTCCGCGTTGCGGCCGATGGCCAGCTCGTCAAGATCACCGGAGTATGTTTGATGTTCCCACGCGCATTACGTTTCCTTCATCACGAATTTTACTCAATTGGTCAAAGAAATTGTGCTTACCGCTGTGAACTGCAGCATTTATGCTTTGCAATTGAGCTGGTGTTCGCAATTGTATTGCGTTTCTCTGCATTTAATTCACTCATACTTGATGTCTGTGAACAGCAGCTTAAAAACATAGGTGCAATTACCTTGCAAAGGGGATATATATATATAGGGAGAGAGGGAGAGCCCACCCTTGTCCGAATTCTATGTCGAGTATTTTTCACAGTACCTTCTCTATTAAAAGCTGTTACATTGGATTCATTATTCAGTTTCAGCTTGCCATTTCACATTTTTGGTACCACTGGTGCTTTATGTTTTCTGTAATGTATGGGCCACAATTACCGAATTACGCATGGGTTAGTTTGAGTATTCCTAGTATCCTAATCTCAATTTTCCGTTCTTTCTTTCATGCAGTCTGTTTCATGTGGCGATATTTCACTGATCTCTTCATATGAGAAGGTTGAGAATTGTGTATACACATCTACTCTTTTAAGAAAATGTGCAAGATGGGGTTCCATGACACAAAATCCTTGGAATCAATGTTCCAAGTGGAAATTAGCACATGCTGAGGTAATAGTGCTTTGTTGTCATATGCTCTCAATTTCAATGTTTTCTTACCTGTTTTTATATGAAACATATAAGTAGATCTTTTCCTTTATCTTCTGCCTTAGGCCTGATGTGTTAACTCCTTTTTTTGTCATGCCCTACAGGAGTCTAATGCAATCCAATTTCATCTGAAACATTCCCTTTTTTTTCAAAATGATAATGCTAGTGCTAGCAATAGAAACATAGAATAGCCGATGTCTCTTTCTGTTGCTTTAGTTTCAGTTCCAGTATATTGTATTGCAACACCTATATTCTTCTGTTTCTTACAAGATACGGAGGAATGGTCCACAGGGAGTTTTATACAACAAACTTCACGTTGTTGTTCCCCTGACAGTAGTTTTAGTTTTATGGTAGAGTTTCTCAGTTGCATTAATTGAAGAGTCTTGTTGCATAGCTGAACAATATTACAAGTACTTGCAATTTAATATTTCGTTTGAAATAATATTGTTCACTAATATGACTTCCAAGTTCCAAAAAGTCTAAAGTTTATAAAAATCTATAATCTCTGTCATTACTGTAGACAATAACACCTAATACAAGAATTTAAGTTGTCAAATATGATATATTTCTTATTCAAACATTCTGTGGGGTTGGGCAGAGGTTTGCTGCTGATTTCTACATAACGGATGCAAAATCATTTAAAAGAGCCTTGGTGAAAGCTGGGCACCACTCGAAGGTTGTGCCTCTGATCGATGAAAATCTTCTGGTGACAACAAGCAGGGACACTAAGTTGTCTTCCACTCTAAAGTATTGGCTGGAAGAAAGAAACCTTTCTTCTGAAGAAGCTCAGGTTATCCGTCTCGAGGAAGGGTAATTAAATGATCCAGAATATTTACCTTTTTTCTATGGATTATGTATGCTGAACCCTTGTAAACTGAATAGTACGATCTCACATGACTACAGGTATATCAGAGAAGGAATGCGGTTGAGCGTGATTGGAATGTTGAGCAAGAAGAACGGGGATGCCATGATACTTCCTCCGCCGGAGCCTCTATCGACGGGCTTTGTGTTGCTGTCGTGTCTCCTCCCATCATATTTTGACGGAATAGTGCTGAGATTGGTCGACAGAAGTCACTTCGTGCCAAACTCTAGCGTCTCATGAAGAGCTTTGAGAACTCGGTGAGATGTAACAGCTAACAACTCTTGTGCGGTGCCCTTGCCCCTTGGGAGCTTCTTTCCTGTACGGGTCCACATTTTTTTTTGCTTTTGGGACTCGATCATGTGGTGGTTTTCAGGTAATCCTAATGTACATTCTCACTTGGTTGATAGTTGTAGTGCTAGTCATTTATGGGGATGGATTGTGTGTGTTTCTGGTTCCTTTGTTTTTCCTCATAAGATGAAATTCGTTGGTCGTTCCTAATTGCTATTACTACCATTTTGCTCTGTCTACTTCGTTGGGGTTTGAGGACGGAGTTTAGCACCCTTGCCTGACTGCCTCTATCTGAAATACTGGTAGTGGACTAGTGGTACTATGGTTTTCGGTCTGGACCGCTCCCGACCTCCCGTCAAGCCGGGGACGGCTGGAGGCCCATTTCGTATGCACCTGGTTTCAATCCCTTTTTCTGGCCAATTGGCAAATGGAAATACAGTCAGACTCAAGCTTCGAGCATCAAGGCTGGCGGCTGCGTCAGTCGTGACGCATTCCGCTCCATGCACGCCAGGACGTGCTGCTGCTGTGCTGGAAGCCCACGGAGCACATCTGTCTTAAAAAAAAACTCAAAGCATTGACGCATTGCATTGCATCCATAGGAACTCGTGACGCGTGGCCACCGACATCCCGTTGTCGTGGATGGCGATGGCCGTCGCTGTGATCCTCCACGCCTCCACGGCGTATCCCAATTCCCAACTGATCGAACAGGGCATCGTTGCCCTTTTACTCGAAGATCTGCCAACTGGGCTCCGATCATCACCGGACAATGACCACTGCCCCATGACTACCAATCTACCATTGGTCGTACAGAAGACGAGGCATAAACCTGCCGCTTCCTCTATGCAAGGCCCTGTGTTGAGCGGCTTGAGCGTCCGATATCGCGTCTGTGGGAGGATCAAGCCCATTAGACCAAGTAGGGGTGGGCATAGAACCCGAGTTACTCGAACCTGACCCTCAAACTCGAAATAGAGTAATACTATATGCCATTTAGTATTTGTAATTGATTGATTGATTGCACTATTATCTAATGCTAATAGTGATGTAATTGGGGCCTACTGATTTATGGTGTAATGATTGTATGTTTTTGTCCAAAAATTCTAATGAGAGTTGTTGTTTATATTGCTTAATCTTGCAGCTATAGTTCTATCTCTTCAGAACTTTTGACGATTTTCAAGATTTTGGGTAGTCTAGGAATACCCAAACCTGAAATTTAAGGTATTCGATCAATACAAATTTTCGGTTATCAAATTTGAAAACAAATTTCATAAATCCCAAATTAATCAGGTAACTTGTGTGCCCACACCTAAGGCCAAGCAATGGCCGGAGAATGTGGCATCCCCATCCCCTTTGCTTCTTTCTGTTCAATTAGCATTAGATGGCATGACCAATCCAACTCAACCTGACCTGATCAGTGCATCTGGTGAGCTCGGGTTATGATTTCTAGCACCATTAGATTGACATGAAGTGCAATTTTTTTTACTCAAAACTTGACCTAATAACTCGAAAGAACATTAGAAGAAAAAAGACCGTCCGATGCACTACATTTTAGATAAGTAGATCTCAGAATCTTAACTGTTTCTTTAGGCCTTATCAGGCTCTCGATTTTCCGATGGAAAGAAAAAAAAGTCTGGTCATACAAAAGCCATTCGAATAATCATCACCACACAAGTCCTACGAAGCACTTATGATGAGGGGCATAGGCCTCCAGCACGCCAAACAGACAAATATCGGAGCCTGATTTTTTATGCTGTCAAGCCAGTCTGAATGAAGGTTTAATGAGGTTTCACGTATATTAAATAGGGTGCCACATCTTGCATGTATCGAGGAGGAGAGAAGAGAAACGTTGTTGTTTCCTAAACGTTGGAAACCGGATGAAACCCACACTGACAGCCTTCGTTGGTTTCATCCCGTGCGACTTCTTTCCGTCCGAGCTGACGAGGCCGCCGCTGCCGGAGGGGATGGCGTCGCGGGAGGGGAAGGTGGCGCGGGCCGCCGTTGCCGGAGGGAAAGGCAGCAGCGGGAGGCCGCTGCCGGAGGGGAAGGCGGGCTCCGCCAGCAGCGGGCGCGAGCTCCGCCGCGCGCTGGCTCCGCCGGCCTCCCTCGATGGGCTCCGACGCGCTCGACTCGCTCCACCGCCGGGAGACCTCCATCGACGCCTCCATCTCGGGCGCGCTCGAGCACCTCCACTCCATCTCCGCCGATGCCACCGCCGCTTCCTCCAAGGTCCCTGCCGCCGCCCCCTCCGACTCCGCCGCCGCGGTGTTCCTGGGCTTCGTGGTGGCCTGCCGCAAGGAGGCGGACGCGCTGCGCGCCGAGATGCCGCCGACGCGCAAGCTCTGCGTGGATCCGGCCAAGTTCGTCATGGACGCCGTCGCTGACGTCTTCCCCGTCGACCGCCGCGAGGTTCGGAACCGAACATCGGCGCCGCGCGCCCGCTCGTGCGGTCGTGCCCCGGGGAAGAGAGAGACCGGTAGGTCCCAAGAAAGGCTAAAATAACTCATGAAACTCTGCAATAAGGCTGTGTCCGATAACGCAAGCCCAAACATAAAACCCATTCTACGCATTGAGTCTGGCACAGTAAAAAATATAGTTTTCCAAACGTGCCAGCACGGCACTACACGGCACTAGCCCCGCCCGTATGCAATGCGCTGCTGGCACGGCACGCTAGGGCACGGTGATGAACCGCCGTGCGTCGTGTCGTGCCACCGTGTCCGACTCGAGCCCGTGCACGCGGCACTATCATTCTGAAGCGTGCCGATCGTGTCGTCGTCGTGCCGACTCTAGGCCCAACGATGCATGCCGTCTTGCGGCCCGTGCACTAAACTGACAAAACCTCTCAATGAACTCAGCACAGTAATTCAAAGAGATCTAAAATAACTAAGTTCACAAAAGATCAAAAACATATCAGAACACAGCACGGCAAAGAACATAAACTTTTGAAACTAAAACTAATTTAAGTAGGAGCTGTGCAATGTCTGTCTCATTAAAAACCTGTTTAGGTAAAACTTACCCTTAAACCTGTTTAGGTAAAACTTACCCTTGTGAGAAACCCTAAACAGAAAAAGAGCACAGCCAGCTCCTAGATTAATTGTTCATTACATCCATCACCACAGGTCCAAGTCTCAGTTATTACAGAACCATTACATAAATGGGAAGTGAACTATTCGACATCAAGATAAAGACCAGCAAAGGCCTCTTCCAGCTCCTTGTCCTCCACCATGTGCTGCAGTCTTGTCTCAGCATTCTCCCAATCCTTGATGCAGGTAAGCGCCTCTACATTTCAGGTTCACCTCGCCGCCGCCTCCTCGATGATCCTACAGTTAAGCTAAAAGTAGACTCTAAAGAAATGGTTGACACAGGCACTGCCAAAATATCTTTAGCAAGAACAGAAAGTACTGAATAAGTAAGCTTGTGCTCATGCCACCACTGCATGATGTCAAACTCATCATCCAACTGGCTTACTATGTCACAGTCCAGGTAGGATGCAAGTTCACTAGAGTTAAAACTAGCAGTTGCTGCCTGCAGCAAGGAAGTGGCAGAAACACTCCTAGAATGATCAAGACTAGAAGGGAGGAAAGAACAGCCAGCTCCAACATCCAACTCCTCATCATCATAAATTTCGGCCCAAGCTATTCTTTTCTTACCAGACAGGGATGGAGGAACAACCCTTTTCAACCTATTAGAGCCATACATTACATCATACCTGTTATACATTTTAAACAGAAGAGCTCTGGTGTCCAACAACTTATTAGTGTAGTCAATATTAAAAAGAGAATGTAACTTACTAAGCACTTTGGTAAATCCCTTAATTTTAGCTCTTGGATCCAATATGAATGCAATAGAATAAAGATCAAGTATGTTCTTCCAGTACTTATTGTATTTGCCAATCATAGGTTGGATAACAGATCTTAGATGTTCATCATATTGATACCTATGCAGGTGTATAGCAATCTTAACAAGATGATGAATCATAAGTGAAGAAGTAGGATAGTAAACACCAGACAAATCAACAGTTGAGTCATAGAACAGTTCAAGAAATTCTAAGATTTTATTTGCCATAGCTCAGTGATCATCAGTCAAAAGGAAACCACTACCTGAACCTCTAGGGTAATTGGCCTCAATGAAAGTACTTAAAGTACTCTTGTGAGGCAGCAAGTGCTTAAGCATTAGGTAGGTAGAGTTCCATCTAACATCCATGTCTAATCCAAACTTCCTAGGTCTAACACCACTAGCAATGCAATAACTCTTGTATGCAGTAATTCTTTGATTAGAGGAGTTCATAAAAGAGATTGTTGTTCTAAAATCCTCAATGAGAGGATTCACAACAGCCAGTGATTATTTTACAATTAGGTTAATAATATGACAAGCACATCGTTGATGCAAAAATAGATCAGAACCCAAATATTCTTTAAGTATATGTTTTAGTTTATCCATAGCATTTTTATTTGTAGATGCATTATCCAAAGTTACAGAAAAAAAAACTTTGTTAAGTATACCATACTCAGCAAGGACAAATGCAACACGCTCAGCAATGTTCTCAGCATTATGGGACACATCAATCAACCTTAAACCAAAGTACCCTTTTCTCTAATTGCCAATCAGCATTAATGAAATGAGTCACAACAGATAAATAATATTCTTTAGCCTTTCCAGACCATATATCAGAGGTAATAGCAACAGATGAAACATCATTATCCTTTAAACAGATCATCAGTTTATCACGTTTCTCATTGTAGTATTTAAACAGATCTCTACCAGTGGTTTGCTTAGAGACATGTGAAAAATTAGGGTTATGAGCAGTTTTAATATAATCTTTAAATGCCTCAGTTTCACCAATCATAAGAGGTAGGTCCAATCTAGCAAGCATACGAACAAGTTCAACACGAGCTACCTCAGCACTGTACTCCCAACGACGAACAGAACCAACAGAATTAAACGCAATATGAGTCTGAGTCATGTCCCGGGTCTTCTCAAGTTTCTTAGGACACTTAGCAAGATGTCGAGTAAGATGCCCAGTGCCATGAGCAGAATAAGCAGAGTAGCGCTTATGGCAATGAAGGTAAGTGGCAACAAACCTGATCTTTCTACCTTTCTCAGTTTTGTAGTGCTTCTCAAAGTCCTCCCAGACAGTAGACGTGGAAGGGCGATTAGAACCGACAGGGCTAACCTCGCTCTGGCCACCGTCGGCATCAGCCACGTCGACTGGGGGGTCAGAGTCGTCGACGGGAAGGGGATCAGCAGTAGAACGGCCGAAGAGCACGGCAGCGTCCTCACGGACATCATCGTCCTCATCATCTCCGGTGAAAGGTCCTTGTTGGTTTTGGTAATTGAGTGACAACCTAGGTGGACTAATTGTGTTTATGTGAGATACACAGGTGATTAGTCCACAGGTACATGTGTATGAGCAACATATGCCATGAAGGTGAAAATGGCTTGGAGATGTTGCAAAGCTCACACATGTGATGATGAAGGAGCTTATTGCACATGAGACATGACATTGAGTCATGTGATCAAGGTAGAGAAGATCAAGACAAGACTTGGCTTGATAGACCGGTTGCAAGCGTGAAGGGCAAGTCAAAGGCTTTGGAGTGATGGACCACGTGGCGGTGAAGCTTGAGCAAGACTTGGCGCCGATGGACGATAGCAACGGTGAAGAGCAAGTAGAGTCAAGATCGATGAACCAATATGATCATGTGATGATATGAAGTGGATCATATCATTGTTGATCGTGTTGGTGCATGTATTGCATCGACATTGAAGAAGATGGAATGGAATGCGCAAGGCAAAGGTATAACCTAGGGCATTTCATTTCACCGGTCATAGGTGTGTAGAGAAGTTTATGACTGGGTTTAGGATAGATGACCGTACTATCAATAGGGGCAAACTTGTTTGCATATCGGTCATCTAGTGCCACTCGAGTGATCTAACTTTGCATTGTCGCTAGGATCGAGTGGCGTGGCAAGTTGAGTGGCTAACATCCTTTGGGAAATGATTGTGAAAATGCTAACACACATACACATGGTGGTGTACACTTGGTGGTGTTGGCACATTTACAAAGGAGGTGGTGTTTGCAGGGTTAAGATGGGTGTGGGTCCCTCTCTCCCTCCTGCCGAGCTTGCTCGGTGGGATTCGGCGCATTCGGGAAAATGGAATGCCTACTTTCTATTGCGCCGGATGCAAACTCTTGGTGGTTGGCACATTGGAGCAAGGGTAAAGAAGTTAGAAGTGAAAACGAGTTAGTCGCGAAGATGCTGGCATCGGTCAACTGACCGGACGCTGGATCTGAATGCACCGGAATGGCGAGCTACGTCCCGGTCAAGCTAACGACGACGACGCAGAAAGCCGGTGTGACCGGACGCGGTCAGGCGAGACATGTGGACCGGACGCCGTCCGGTCGAGGATGCTCTTTGAAGAAACGAACGACGGACCGAGGGTTTAGCGTCCGGCCGGTTGAAAGCCGCTCACGTCCGGTCAAGTCAAGTGACCGTTGGAATCGAGACACGGGTTGCTCGCGTCTGCATGGCGACCGGACGCCGAGGTCCAACGTCCGGTCAACACGACCGGAGCGTCCGGTCGGCCCGACCGATGCCCAGTGAAGGGGTAACGGCTAGTTTAGCCCTTGGGGCTATAAATAGAAGTGGCCCTCGGCCATGGCTGGTGCTGAGCACCTCAAGGGACTTAGTGTCCATGCTTGTGAGTGCTTGGGAGCCCTCCATCACACATATACTTGATAGTGATCATTCGATTGTGTGAGTGAGCGATTATAGTGCGATTGCATCATGAGGTTGCATCAAGTGGCACTAGGTGGTCGTGTTGCAAGCCGGTGGTGCTTGTTACTCTTGGAGGTTGCCGAGACGGCTTGGTGGTGGTCTCGGAGAAGCCCGCAGAAGCTTGTGCGGCGCTCAGGAGAAGTGCTTGTGAGGGTACTTGTGCTCGCCCAGGGAGTCACGAAGAGCAACTTTAGTAAAGCGTGTCATTGAGCTACCCTCACTCAAGGGGTAGGTTCTTGCGTGCCCGACGTGCGGGCTTAGCGGGTGATGCTAATTAGTCATTGAACCACCAAGTGAGTGTCGACACACAAGGGGACTAGCGTGTTGGCAAACACGTGAACCTCGGGAGAAAAATCATCGTGTCAACCTTGTTCTTCCCGTTGGTTTGCATCCCCATTACACAAGCTTGCAATTACTTTTATATATCTTAAGCTTGTGTAGTTGCTCTTGTAATTAGTTAGCTTATGTAGCTTACTAGTTACCTTCTTGCTTGTGTAGCATAAAAGTAGCTCCTTATGTGGCTAATTTAGTTTTAGTAACCTTGTTAGTCACATTGCTTAGTTTGTGTAGCTAAGTATTTGCGCTCTCTAATTAGGCATTGGTTGCCTTGTTATTGAGCTTTGCTAGTGAGCTTAGTTGGCTTTGTGCTTTTGCTTACTAGCATGTGTAGGAGCTCCCTTGTTGCTTAAAGTACTAGTGGCATAGGTTTGTGTGACCTTGCTCCTAGAATTGTTTAGGAGAGCTCTAGCTAGCCCGGCACCTTAGTTGCATAATTAGTATCTTGGCAAGGTGCTAGTGAGCATATATAGAGGGGTGTAGTCTTGGCTAGACCGATTGTTTTAATCCCGCATTTATATCGGTTAGCCGACGCGATTAATTTTAGAAAAGACTATTCACCCTCCCTCTAGTCCGCCATCTCGACCCTTTCATCCGGCCATCCCGCACATACGCAGCTCGTCATTCTGGGAGTGGTCAAACTCCCCGTCATCGTGTCGCTCGGCGCCTGGGTCCATCTCTACCGTCTTCGGTTCCTCGACGGCTGCCACAATCAACAGATAAAAGCAGGGTTAGGTTGGGGATTAGGGTTAGGGTTAGGGTTTACCCTTACCTTTACGGCCGGAGCCCCGTAAACGACGACGATGAGATGAACCGATTACACACCCCTGGTACCTCAACGGAGACCGGAGCCTCGGAGGTGGTGGCAGCCAGCGATGTGGACGACGGACAGATGACGGAGATGCGGCGAGGATGCCGAGAACGAGGCTCAATCGATGTTCAGGGATGAAGAATAAGGGAACAGAAGGAGATTGAGGGTGGGAACCACCGGATCTGAGGGAGAAGAGGGAGACTGAGGGCAGAGAGGGAGAAGAGGGAACCACCGGCCACCGGAACTAACCCCTTACCCGTCGGTAGACTCCATGGTGATGGCGTCGAGATGCCCAGGTTACGAGTGCGGCGAAGAGCGGCGAGCATGCGAGGAGCTAGGGTTACGAGTGCGGCGAGGAGCGGGCAAGCGACAGAGTGAGCGGGGAGAGCCGGAGAGGAGAGGGCGAGAGGCTAGGGTTATGAGTGAGGAGAGGGGCCGAGTGGGGAGAGCGGCCGCATCGGGCGGCTTATATATCAGCCGCCCGGCGATCCAACGGCTCATGCCCTGCCTCCGCGATCCAACGGCCGTGCCTGCCCCGTGCCTGGGCCAGCACTACGGGCCGACCTTTCGGCCCAGGCACGGGCACGGCTACGGGCCGGGCCAGGCATGGGCACGGGCGAGGCTGTGCCGTACTGGGCTAGGGCCATGCTTTTTCGCACCGGGCCCGTGCCAGCTCGTTTCGTGCGGCCCGTTTGGAAATTTATAGTAAAAAGGTCACCCATCTAAATCTTTCCTTCTCCAACAGCCAACCCAAAGGGTCCCTGCATGGGCCGCCGTCGCCCTGCTCTGTCGCTCCACCCATCTCTGCTCCACCTCCATTCTCCTCTCTCTCCCCATCTCTGCTCTGCTCCACACCGCCGCCGCCGCCCTGCTCTGCAGCTTCGCCCCTGACCGAGCGCCGTGCTCGCCTCTGCCTGATGGAGCCGCGAGCAAGAGAGAGAGAGAGAGAAAAAGGGAAAGGCGAGCAAGAAAGAGAAGGCAGGCGAACCAAACCCCAAGGAGGCCAAGACGCAGACGGCAGCAGGCTCAAGCTCCGACTCGCCGTCATGCTCGCCCTCCCGGGTCACCGGAGCCATCCAACTCTGACTTCGGCGCCGACGGTGGCGCCGCCGGCTCCTCGGCCTCCTACCGGCGCCAGCGCAAGCTCAAGCTCGTAGTCAAGCTCTCCCAGCTGCCCCCGGACCAGCACCACTGCCGGGCCCCACCTCCCCCGCCGTACTCTGACGACTCCGACGGGGTGGAGGACCTGGCCGGGGACGGAAGCGGCGACGAGGAGCAGGTCAAGCCGCCCAAGAAGCGCCGGATCGAGCCGCGCGCCGACAGATCTCACCATCACAAGGTGGTCCGCGCGTGCTTCTTGCCGGTGATCCTCCTTGGAGCAAGAGCCGCGTCCGACGGGCTTCTCCTCCTGTCGTCGATTTGGGTCGAGGAGAGAGACATACGCATTTTTGAGTTCCCTCTCACCTCCGACGCAAACTGGGTCTTCCCTTTGCCTACTATGTTGGAGGCCGTTTCTTTCATGTGAACTAGGCATTTTGGGTATAGGTCGCGTGATGCGTTGCTTGCTGGAGACAGTCTAGAACTATGCACTGTGAGGAAGACCCGTTTTATGTTAAGTTTCATGTCTTAAAAACTAGAAGATGAAACTTTTCACTTGACTGTTAAGTTTCACGTCTTAGAAACTGAGAGACGAAACCTTTCACTAAGACCCGTCTTGTTATATCGATCGGCGAGTGGGACGTCTAATTATTATCCCTACCGTCTCTTGCTTGCCCCCAATGGATTTTTTTTTTTTTGGTTGTGGTAGGTATCCAGTCAATCGCTCCCGTGATTCGTGCGGATACATGTAGACACTGTGTTAGTTTAGATACAACAAATCGATTGGACTATGTTAATCGACACGATCACGGATATGTCTATCTGCAAGCACACCGTAAACCAGTGACGTATTTGACGTGTTGATTATTTTCTTGTGCCTACAGCACCGAGTAACATCATGGCTTCTGTTTTTATTGATCTGTCACCGTCGATCTTTCCTGCTGCCGTCGCCACCAGTAGTCCGAGCACCACTGGCGTACGCAGCCCGCCAATAATAACGCGCCCAAAGCAGAGGCCGAAACCCGCGAGGCCGCGACGCGCAGGGCCAGTGGCGACCACGGCACACGGGGAGGCGCGAAAAGGAGCTGAGCTGAGCCCGGCAGCACTGCCTGCCGGCCATGTCCACGCCCCGCCGCCGCCTGGTGACCACCGCCTCCCCGTCCCTCCGCTTCCTCGGCCTGCTCAAGCAACCCGATGACGCACCCAGCGCCCACGGCGGCGTCCAGGAGCCGCTGGAGCTCGACGAGCGTGACGTCGTCTGGTCCTCCTCCAGCAGCGCGACCTCCTCGTCCTCGACCTCCGCGGCCTCCTCGCCGTCCCCGTCTGCCTCGTCCGCCAGCAGCCTCCGGAGGCCGATATCCACGTCGTCGCGCCACTTCCCCGCGGGCAGCATGGGCCTGTCCGCGCTCCTCGCCGACGACCACCCCCTGCACGCGCCCACCACCGCGCCCGTCCCGGCCGTCGCGCGCCCAGAGAGACAACACGCCCCGCAGCCGTACCACCAGTCGGCGCCCGTCGCCGTGCCGGCCTGGCCGAAGGCCATGACCGCGGCGGACAGGGACAGGCGCCGCCGGGAGGCGGAGATGCAGGCCGCGGACTACGAGGACGACGACGACGGCGAGCCCGTGGTGCCGCCGCACGAGATGGCCGCGCGGCGCGCCGCGGCGGCGGCGTCGGTGATGGAAGGCGCCGGCCGCACGCTCAAGGGGCGCGACCTCCGGCGCGTGCGCAACGCCGTGTGGCGCACCACCGGCTTCCTCGACCTGTGAAAAAGGACGTCCCTTTCCTTTGGAGGTTTCGTTTCGTTCTCTGGCCACGTCACTCCACTCCACTTGAGAGCTGCGAGCTGCCTCGGACCTTGGCCGCTGCTGGGCAGCTTCTTTGTTGCGTAGCGTAGTGCTGTGTAAGCCAGCTGCCAGGCACTGAAAAAGCCAAAAAAGGTGGGCGTTTCCTTACTTATGAGGTGTATTTTTTGTGGAAGAAGCTGCAGGTGCTTCAGTATTTTTCCTTGAAAGAAAACTACTGTGATCAGTCTGCAACTAGTATATGTTCTAAGATCTCTGCAACTCTTTGCCCTTTTAGTTCCCACAAAATATTATTTTTATTTATGAGAGAAACACTTTTAAACTGAATATTTTAAATGAGATAATTGGCCGATTTTCAACCACCAAAACTGCCTTAGTTCCCACACTATAATTTTTATTTATTTTTAACACTTTTTTAAACTAATTTTAAATCTAACGCTGATTTTCTCTCCAAAACTAACATTTTTGGCCGCGCTTATTGCCATGGCGCAATGAACGCTCGTGTCGCGCGCCATGCATGATGCAAGAGAGGATGTTTATGGCGAAGACCGGCGGCGACCGGTGGCGTGGCGAGGTCTGCTGCGCCACCGATCTTGGCGCGCGGCAGAGGACGCGCCACCGCGCGCATGGCGGGCGGCAAGGAGGGAATGATTTGACGCGGCAAGTATCACCGAAGATGCCGCCATCATGAAACGACGAGGCACCAGCACCAACCCCCCGGCCCCGGCCTAGCTAGCTAGGTTACTTGTGCAAGTGCAAGCGTCAGGGTCACCACTAGCACTCTAGCAGGTTCATCCGTCGCGTAGCAGTTTGCTGTGTGTGTGTGCCATGTACGCATGCGTGGCGGCCGGCAACGGACGGGCGTGGTCGAGTCTAGGAGGGGCCCGTGCGGACGGCGAGCTGGAGCGTCACAGAAGCGTAGCTAGCCATTGGGTGAGGCAAAACTAGTCGCTTTATTAGTCTACGACTCTACGTGATCTTGAAGCTTCGATCAATTGCTCGGATTGGGATCGCCGGCCAGCCGGCCGGGGCTTATTTGATGTGAGCTACGAGATTTATTACCGGCTGGTGATAATCGAACGGGGCCAACGGGATCATCATCATGCAGGTTTGAAAGCCATGCATGGCGCGGCACAGGCATTTCGCCACGCCATGACAATAGACGCGATCAAAAGTGTTAGTTTTGGAGAGAAAAAACAGTGTTAGATTTAAAATTAGTTTACAAAAAGTGTTAAAAAAATTCCACACTAAAACTTTACACCCTGTAACATCAAATATTTGGACACATGCATGGAGTATTAAATATAGACTAAAAAATAATTAATTGCATTAACTAATTACACAGTTTGCGACTAATTTGTAAGACGAATCTTTTAAGTTTAATTAGTCCATAATTTGACAATAAAATACTACAATAACACACGTGTCTCGTGGTTTACTGACGGTTTCTGTAATTTAATTTTTTTATTAATATCCGAACACCTCATGTGACACCCTATGTAACATTCGATGTGACACCCTAAAACTTTACATGATGTATCTAAACAAATTCTTTGACAAAGAGATTTTCTCGGAAGATGATGCAGAATAGCTAAAATTGTTGTGTGTAGCAGAGCTCATGTCACTATTAAACCTGTGGTCTAGTGTGCAGAAGTGCAAAACAGGTGTGGTGTGTTCAAAGCTTTTGTACACCACTGTGGCTAATAGAGTGCCTTTTCTAATCTGTACTAATGGATTAGTATATGTCCAATTGCTTTCCTTTTGCATTGCTTGAGCATGTTGATAAGTCATGTCCTTCGAAGCCGATTTCTGAAAAAACTGGATATTAGGATGGTAAACACTCAATTACGACATAGCATTCCCTTAAGGAGCTTTCCTGAGCTGATGGTTTTAGCTGAAAACTTTAAGTGAAACTTTCCTAAAATGGTAAGTAGCTTCAGATTCACATTTTGACTCGGTAAAACGTAATGCAGAAAGCACCTAAATGAAGGATAACAGCAGTTTACAAGCCGAATCATCTTTAATCTTTCAGTGTTGAGGATAAGAGCTTGTTTGGTCGGTGCCGTAGTTTGCCATGTTCGACCTTCGGTAAATTGTGACGAGCAAAATCAAATGCACACTTGTGTCAAAGTTTGATATGAAAATGAGTACATGACATGTGGGATAGGGTGCTAAGAAAGTATAGTGCGTTATTGTTATGGCAGTGGATTAAACAGTTGCTGAAAAAACTATGGCTTACCAATTATTGGCGTGGTAAGTTTTAGTCATAAACCAAATAAGAAGTGATGACGTTTCTTAGACCCTGTTGGTTTGGCCGTGAGATTGTATAATCCAGTTTATAGGTGTGGAATACAAGATTGAAAATAAACTAGTCTGGAACATCATATAAGATTACATGAGTTGGAGAGCCTGGATAGTATAAGGTGGCCTACAAATTGAGATGTCTGTTGGCCACTTGAAGTAATATAAACACTCAATTACATACTAAGTTGTTTATATAAACCCGAGGTAAGCAAACAAAACCTTACATAGTTGCTCGCCTACAGCTGCCGTGGTCTCCTCACAGGACTTTTGGGGCCGAGTGGATGCCGGGTCACCTCCTGGAACAGTGCAGCACTAATGTGGCGGAGTTGGGAGAAGCTCCAAATGTGCTGCTCCTCCGGCTCCTCTTCTTTCTAGTTCATTTTCGGAGGAGTCGGAACCAGTTTTTTGTCATGCTACAGTAAAAAAAGTGTTGCACAGTGTCTTAGGAGTAGGAGCCGGAGCACCAAGAGCCGCACCAAATGTGGCCTAAGACTCTTCCGGCTCAGTGTGGTGGACTGATGGTACATGCGCGTACTGCACAGGCGTTTTGCTTTTCCGGTGAAGGCGACACCGCCCAATCTCCCCATCGTTAGCCTTGCCCATACCAATTTTTTTTTTTATTTTTAACATTTTTTTAAACTAATTTTAAATCTACCCTGTTTTATTTTTTTTCCCCAAAACCAACACTTTTGTCCGCGTCTATTTTCTTGGCACGGCTAAACGTCTGTGCCGCGCCATGCATGGTGGCGTGGTAAGAGGGATGACGTGGCGGCGACCGGAACGCTGACCGTGACGTGGCAGGGTCTGCCGCGTCATAGCCCACGACGCGGCACTGACGCGCCAAGGCCTACGGAGTGGAAGGACCTGGACGCAGACAGAAGCCGACCAGCCTCAATTGAAATTGAACGGGAGCCGCTGTAGGTGCTGTAAACAACTACAAGTGCTACCGCGACGCATTGAAGCGAATATGAAGCAAATAAATGGAGTCTGTGCGCAAGTTGATAAGTTGTCACATAACATTTTCATTTGTTCGACATAAGTTCGACATAACCGACTAAGTCTGCAAGTTTCGGACGACAATATTCGTTCCACATAAGTTCGAGATAACCAACTAAGTCCCATAAATGTAAGGATCCTTCGGACGCATCTGTCTCTTCAGATTTATAGGCAACACATTAGGAGTGTAGCCAACGTCGGTGTGGTCGCGTTGCCGGTGCGTACGTCTCGTACCCTGCAAGTATATGATATGCACGATTACTTATAATCTTTATGATAGTTAGTTCACGGAGCCTACGTATTTAAAGACACTACATTTGTTACTACCTGTGAGGCTCCTTGGGTACTAAGCGGGGCACCACCTAACTGAGACATGCCGATCTTGTCCTGCTACCAAGGGTCCCACTGGTGGTGCTATATGCGGAAGCCCGGAGGATCACCGCCGTCGTCGTCGTCATCCTCGTCGTCGTCATTTGCAGGGTCCTTCCCAGCGCTATAATGTGGTGGTGTACGCACAGCGGAAGCGGCACCTGTCACCGACTGAGAAGAGCCGGCTGGTGTCCTCAAAGAGCCAGAAGACGTGGCACCCGACCGCGCCTGGTAATCGGGTTCCACCCAAGGAGTGTCCATACAGCTCAACTTCTGAGCTAGCTTCCTACAGCTCCGCTTCGCCTTCTGCATGAATAGATGTTAAAGTTAGTGCATTTTTCAAACGCATATACACTAAAGAAATATTTTCGGAACGGACAAGTTTATGTTTACCTCCACAAAAGTCTCGAGAACGCCTGGCCCGTACCCTCTAGACTCATGAAGCCGAAACGCTGCTTCATTGGACAACCTTAACAATTGTGTCGCCTGTGTACAGAAACGCGGTTGGACAGTTTTAGTACACATACTTAATACCAAATGGATAACAAATTGTACCATTCGAGTATCTTACCATGTATCTTTGAAGCGAGGCTCTCTGTAGTTGTGTGTCGTCCCTAGTGGCAACGTCGTACACATCTTCGATCGCATCTTCCTCGTCGTCCTCGTCAATCACCTCCTCAGTGTACGGGGGCTTGATATGTGTCCTCGTAGACCTGTGAAGCCACCACAAGTACTCGTCGAAGGTGTGCTGGTCGTGTGGGGGACCCGCATCGACCGGCTGTTAGTCCCTGGTCTGCCACAACTAGATGTACGCGTTGTGTGTCACGCGCCAATCCTTGGTCTTGTACCTCTTCCAGCGGTCATACCTGCAACAAAACGATTGTTAGTTGTACCATACACGCCTCTGAATTGTAGCTTTGTTATTAATCGATAACGCACCCATGCAATTCTTGGTTGGTGGAGTAAAGTGGTGGTGGATAGCCTGTCATTCTTTCAAACTGCCTACAAACCCTGATGGGCAAGTGAATCTCGACCACGTGGAAGAAAATAAGAGGGACGTTGTAGCGATACTCGTCTGTCTGACTCATCCCTAGTGATAGGACTCAGATAGTCCTGGAGCTCCGGAGCATCCCAAGGACACCAATGCACCTGAACATTTTGTAATTGAGTTAGGTTGTGATATAGTGTACATCGAACAAGACACATGTATGATAGTAAAGAGAGCGTAACCTAGTGCTGTGTCAGGACATCGAGATAGTCCGTGTACTCCCTGTACTTGCGCCTCGCATTCCCTC